ACACATTTTAAAACAGGGGTAAATCCGGTTATTAAAAATAAAAACTACACAACATGGATACATAGCACTAATCCGGATAGGAAAGCAAAGAGGGTATCAATAGGGATCCACAAAAATACACGATTAGAGATAAAGGACACAGTTATAGATGAAAAAGGGAGATTTATATTTTTGAAATTTTTCTACATGAATCAAATCTATTCACTAGCGAATATATATGCACCAAATAAGGGCCAACACAAGTTTTGTATAAGGGCACTTTCCAGATTTCAAAAATTTGGAGTGGGTTTAAGTATGATAATGGGAGACATGAACCTAATATTGGATAATCAATTAGACACCACTGGGAAACCACACACAACGAGAGGTGTTTTAAAAAAACTAGAAACTAAAATGGATAATATGAGATTAGTGGATGGCTGGCGAACATTGAATCCTAAGAAAAAAGATTTTACCTATTATTCTGTGGTACACAATTTCTATAGCCGAATAGACCATGTCTGGATACACCAGAAGCTGTTGGATCTGCAGGTTAAAAAAGCTACTGCCAAAAATTATACACCTAGATCAAACTGGATTTGTGCAGGGAAGGGAAGCTAGAGACAGTACTACCAGGGTCATTGATTTAATAGAACTAGCACAAAAGGAGAGAAGTCCTGCTTTGCCTATTGTCTGTCGATGCTGAAAAAGCAGTAAACTGGACATTTCTCAGAGAATCACTAGCGAAAATGGGAGTGGGAGAATTTTTCTTGTCTAAAGTGATGGCATTATATACACATCCAAATGCAAGGGTCAGAGTGAATGGGGAACTATCTGATCTTTTCTCAATAAAAAATGGCACCCGACAGGGATGCCCTCTCTCACCCTTGCTATATGTTGTAGTAATGGAACAACTGGCGGCAACTATTAGGAAAAACCCCTCGATTTCAGGAATATCTACTTTAACACAACAACATAAAATAGCACTATATGCGGATGGTCTACTCCACTTAATATCATCTCCAATAATATCAATACCTAATATCCTTAAAGAACTAAAGCACTATGGGGACTTGAGTAACTTTCAAATAAACCTATCTAAATCAGAATTTTTAAATATATCATTAAAGGATAGAGTAATAACTAGTATAAAGAATAATTACCCATTTAGATGGCAGGATAAATATATAGTTTACATGTGGGTTAATATTCCGAGAGAACTTAACACACTGTATGCTATCAATTATAGAGATTGGATAGATAATATCTTTGCTCAATTCTACCCATGGAATAGTTTAAGAATGTCTTGGATAGGGAGAGTAAATATCTTAAAAATGGATATCCTTCCTAAAATACTATATAGATTTCAGACGATCCCCATTCTCTTACCAGTAGCCTTTTTTAAGAAAATAAAATCAGTAGCAATGAAATTTTTCTGGGCAAATAAAACCCCTAGAATAAGTGCAAAGAACCTGATGAGATCAAAACCCAGAGGAGGCCTGGGGATCCCAGACTTTGCACTTTACCATAAAGCGATCTTAATATCCAGAATATTGGACTGGATACATAAGGGTCAAGACAAAGGGGTAGTAAAATTGGAAGTAGATGTTTACCGAGTGCCACTGAGGAATCTCCCTTGGATATCAGTGGACTGTAGACCTCAGGCATCTACACTACCTCTTCTAGTACAAGCGGTGCTACAAGTCTGGGACAAGACATTTGCTAATTATAACCTTTCTTCTAGGCCTGGACCCTTGACTCCCATCCTAGGCTACCCACAATTCCCACCAGGTATGCAAGCAATCACACTATTAAATATGGAAAACACTACATATATACAGACGTGGCAAATACTAGAATTAGATAAAGAAGAATTAAAAATAAATCTACGACCAGAAAGACAAACCAATGGGAAGCAATGGCTGGAGGCAGTCCAGCTTTCGGATTTCATCAGACACCTTAGGACATATCAGACCTTTACAAGTACAAGTACTTGTCAAAATGCCCTGTATCGGGCCCGATTCCAATGCTAGCATCGGTATCGGGACATCCCTACCTGTTACCCATACCTTGTCAGTAATCCATGGCATATTAAGGGCAGAAGAAGACAAAGGACATACCAAGTACATGAAAAGATGGGAGCAAGAACTGAGGAGGGAACTATCCGACTGGGAGTGGGAAAGAATATTTAACATGACACATAGATCTGTTACATCTTCCTTCCATCAAGAAAAGAACTGTAAAATTACATCTAGATGGTATAGGTGCCCAGAAGGTATTAGACATATAAACCCAGATTTAACAGATAGATGCTGGAGATGTATTAGGGAGGAGGGTTCATATTTGCATATCTGGTGGAGCTGTCCTAGACTGCAGCCTTTCTGGGGAGCAGTATTCGGAATATATAATGCCATAGAGATGCAAAGTTTAGAAAAAGATCCCTTTATGGACATATTGTCATTAATTCCAGGATCTCTAAAAAAGATAAAAAGTGAGATCTTAAGATTTGTAATGGTTGCAGCAAGGGTATGCATATCACGGGGGTGGAAGTCAACGGTCCCACCTACAATAGAGAACTGGGTAAGCACAATGGAGGAAATAAAATATATGGAGGAGTTAAGTGCAAAGGACCTAGACACAAAGGAGAGTTTCCATAAGATCTGGGGAAATTGGGAAAACAATATAGAAGGGAAAAGAAATAAAGAATGTATGCTGGGGTATTGAATATATGACCAAGGATATAGATAAGACTTCGGATTAGCTATTTAAATTGTTAAGGTGGAATAGGACCTGGAGGAGTGGTGAAGTAATAAGGAGGTTGAATGACTATTGGAGGAGTGAGAGAATAGGACAGGAGGTAGAGGGGGAGAGGGAAGGGGGGAAACACAAGGGGGGAAGCTGAAAGGATATATTGGAGAGGTAAATAGAAATAGAGGTATGCACATAATAGACTTGATAGGAAATAAATATAAAAAAAAGTACACAGCACGTAGTGAGTGAGAGTAATTAGAATTAATTGAGTAGGTTTACTGGAAGTTGGTTAGGAGTTTAGATAATCACATAAGATGGGTTTAGACGCTAGAGGAAAATGGATAGTGTATAGTATAAGGGGAGCACCTGAAGACACAAGATGAAGTTAGAGATCAAATGACACAGGGATTAGATGTCCCCCTCCCACTCCTCCAATGGAAGTTCTGAAAGAATGAATAAATCGATCCTTTTTGAGAAAGGTCACCTAAGTACCCCACAATGGGATCGATCCTTTTTGAGAAAGGTCACCTAAGTACCCCACAATGGGATCGATCCTTTTTGAGAAAGGTCACCTAAGTACCCCACAATGGGATCGATCCTTTTTGAGAAAGGTCACCTAAGTACCCCACAATGGGACACAAGTAATTAGCCAGGGTGCATCCATGAGCATCCAAAAGACAAGGAGACCCAAAACCTGGGGACCCATTATGTTGTGCAAACAGCCTCCTATTCCTGCTAAAGGCTTGCCAGGTGCTATCTCTGGTGCACTTCTATTTGTGCTATGTCTGTCGATAAAGGTGTTTTAATCATGAAGACGATGGTGTGCTGGTGCCTCTCTTTCCAATGTTGTTCCTGCTGGCGCCATCTGCTTGTCATTTCAGCACCCAGTAAAAGACGAAAGGGGATATACCAGTCAGATGTGTGACGAGTTACCTACATTTATAGCAAAACGGGACAGAAAAATTGGAAATCCCGCAAGAATAGTATCAGATGTAGAGTTCCCAAAAGAAAACAGCATCGTTATCCAGAATCTACAAGTAACTGATAAGTAACTTAAGTGGCAGGGAACTGCAATAAATAGAGGCCTGGCTGTAACTGCTACAGATCCCTTTCCTACACCCAGCACATCTACTATACCTTGCCCACTAAATCCAGAAAAGCCTATTTGATAGTTATACAAAATATTAAATCATTGTAAATACATTGAATTAATAAAAAACTATAAAAAAAGTTTTAAAATGAATGCACGGATTTAATGGGCTTTATTGTTTTGGCTTTAACAAAAGAAAAGACTGGGCACTAATACATTTACCGATAGAGAGTTTATTATAAAGTGAAAAGTGATTTAACATTTGCAAAGTCTACTATTTACTGGAATAAACAAAGGACTCTACTGTTAAATAACAATGTGACGAAATCCTGTGCATTTAATGTGCAAGCCCTGAATCGTTAGTTACACCCCATGGCCTCTGCGCTGAAACACTGCTGGACAGCATAATAGCTGTACATTTTATTTACATATATCTTCTTATATACAAAAAAAAGTAGAAAGACCACTTGTGTGTTTTCAGACAAGAGATAACTGTTATTTATTGCATTAAGAACCCTCATCCTAAAGAAGCAACAATATAAATACAGCAAGCAACAAAAACAGCAAGGTCTGCATTACACCAGAAGTAAAACAAATATTGAAGCAATTTAAAAGAACAGTCAACACGTTATCGATGGCTTGTAAAAAAAAACAAAAAAAAATGCATTGATAAGTGAGTCTATTTATTGCAATGCTGCATTAGATTTGAGGGAACAGAGAGTCAGGATTATAAATACTCCAATGAAGATTTTCTGAGCCAATACTGTGCATTATACAATACAGGAACCAGTATCCTGTAAGTGGTCTGTGATAATACCTCTGTCATTAACACTTTACACTTTTGGCAAAACAATCTTTTTGATCTTCTTATATAAAATATTAATACCAATGAAGAACTTCCAAGTTTTCAAAGAATCGAATATGTACTTTAAACAACTTACATCAACACGTTAAAAACAAGTTATTTACATAAAAAGTCTCTGTGGCCCCATTGTATGCTATAATACAGGTAAAAGTGTCATTTTATATTTACATAACACTATTTTCTGTACAGGAAATATTTATCCCTTTTTTTTCAGCTAGACAAGTCCCCGACACACTACATAAAAGCAATGTATATCAGGCCACATGTGTGCATTAGAGGTTAAATATGACATATATAGAAATTTTTATTTGTTAGCTTTATTATTGTGCAAGCTCCATAATTCCTCTTTAGAGTCTTTAGAAATGGCTATCTGCCTTGTATTACTGCTGCTTTTTCCGATGACTTTTCGGTATAGGAAGTAAAGATTTGACTTTTGAGGAACCAGGTTCTGTTTTTGGCTTTTGGTCGCTGTACTGTGATATCTGGCTGCTGCGGAGAGGACAGGCCCCATTCTGTGAAAGAAAAGCACCCTGAATAAGTCATGAAATCATATAAAAATAAATATATAAATATAAATAGATATCTATATATAGATATCTATATATATACATGCACTGAGTGGCCAGTTTATTATGACCACCTGACATTTGTAGGCAAATTAGCTATAATTAGCGAGCGCCCAGGGGGGGAGCGGCCCCTTCACAGGATTGTAGAAGCCATCTGGCGACAGCTGAGTCACCAGAATCACTTCTATTGTAAAGCCGACAGTCTGTTTAAACAGCACTGATGCTGGCGACATACACTGTACGTCGTCAGTCGTGAAGGGGTTAAAGAACTGTTTGTCATTCTACTTCCGCTTTAAACTGTGATAATTATTTGTCTATCAATGGAACCGTAAGATGGAGAATAAACTTCAAAGAGATGCATTTATATTTGGCATTAAACAGCCCAGAAATAGCTTTGACAGTTAGAAGAGACAGTAACAAAACTGCTCATTGTTGAAACCAGCAGTCGTCTATTTTCTGTATCAGTTGCTCTTTAACCCTTACTGGGTTTGCTTTCTAAATTTGGGACTCTGCATTATTTCATGTTGATTTTTTACTGTCCAACCCTGTTTTTGGTTTCTAGAAAAGAACACACATTTGTTGTAAGCCTCTGTTATGTTATACTTACTTTACGTGGCTTTTGAGAATTCTGTTTTTTGCTGTTTGCTGAATTCTGCTCATTTGGAGGACTTTTAAAGATCACCAGGCAATTATCCAAGTCTGCAATCTAAAGAGAAGCAAACCATATTTCCATTAATATTAGGCCCACACAGTTACACAAGACAAACAAGGACTGCTTGAAATCAGGGCTTGTTCACACCAAATCCAGACCAGATCTGCATGTGTTTCTGAATATGCAGTGCAGTGCATTTTTGATGCGTTTGCATGCGCTTTGGTGCATTCCAAAGCAGAAAAAAACAGGGCACGCTGCACTTGTGAACAAGCCCTAAGGCAGACCTTCTGAGATGCCTAAAAACATGGAAAGGCTCTTGGTCCAATATGGGAAACCCCAGCTTGTTTAATATTTAGACAGGGATCAGGATTATCAAATATGTTAATTCTTATTGTATTACCTGAAAACATTTGTCAATATGCCCTTCTTATTTGCTTGCTGTCCTATGCTTTAATTAGGGTTATTGATATTCCAATGTGTAGATTTCTCTCTACATAGCTAACAATTTCAAATCAAGGAAAAATAAGCAACTGCTGAAACAGATTGATAAGTTTTCTAACTGACTTGAGACTATTGCCTAGAGAAGAGGAGAACAGCCAAGCTCTGCAGCGCTACTACAGTAGGCAGGATGCACAGCCTGTATATGCAGAAGTTGAACATCTCTGATGTATTTGTACAAATTATCTACATATGAAGCTGATCAAACATAGCTTCAAAAAAAATCTAATGGACTCTATATATTTTTTTCCCTTAATATCTCTTTAATTTTTAACAATTATAAAATAAACAAATAAATAAATATAACCACATTCCACATACTCCCCAAGTGGTAAGATACATTAAATATAAAAATATCTAAATAACATAATTATGGTTTAGCACCCGATTCTTTAGCTTTACAATATATTTTGAGCTTAGGGTGATTATGTAATGTTTATTTGGTCGATTATGGTGTTCCTTTATTTTTTTTATTTTTAGCTCAAAATATATTGTAAAGCTAAAGAGTCGGGTGCTAAACCTGGTGCAGAAAGCCACACATTCTAAAAATGTTTTTAGGTCTTCCCCTGTTAGACCAATTTTTCTTTAAACAGCAATAAATTGACCTGGGCACGCCATTCGCCAATAGTGAGGGGTTAGAAGACATCCACCTCAAGGCTGCTAATTTTCTTGCTACAAAAAAGAAGCCGTATTACTACCGAGAAGATTTGCTCAGAATATTCCCCTTTAATGACTAGATTCAGTAAACATATCCTAGGATCTGCCAATATAAATATCTGACATATATTATTAATAATGGACACCACTTCCTTCTAGTATCGAAAAAGCTTTGGACATTTCCATAACATATGTAACAGATCTGCAGCCTCCACTTGACATTTAGGGCAAGCTCCCTCCCCAACGTTGTAATTTTTGAGGGGTATAATAAACTATGTAAAATAAACAATTGTGTTAGTTGTTGAATAGGTGATAGATAAATCGCTGATATAACCCCTAAATCCCTTTCCCACCCTCCCCTACACTTAAGTTGCTGCCCTGATGCCCATCCATCCATAAGTGCATCATATATTTTTTAAATTAAACCTTGCCTCCCAACTGAGTGTGCCGCCAATTTAATAAGTGGTGCCTTCACGTAAACAAAAGGTGCAATTCCACTCTGTGCCTGAGCAGCATGTCTTAACTGTAACTATTTATTACAAACAAGTGTTTGATAAATGAAATTCCTCTTGCAACATATAGAACAGATTTAAAAATATTATTCTCAAATAATTGAAACATATAGTTCAATCCCTTAGTGATCCATATTTCAACCCCCTCCAATTTATATAGCTCTTTACAATTAATATTATACCAAATTGGTGTGACTAAACTATACCCTTCATACCCCATATAAGTTCTCATAACCTGCCATACTTTTCCCATTAAACCAACTGTTGGGTATTTATTAAACCTTGAATCTAAACCAGCTTCCAATTGAGAGGCGGATGTATAACGAGACAATATACTTGAGAAGAGTCTCTGGTTCAGATCTTCCCCATTCCATGGGCCCCAACCAGTCATATGTTGCAATTGGGAGGCCATAAGGTATAATTTAGGGTGAGGAAAAGCTAAACCACCCTTATCTTTGGGAATTTGTAGAATAGAAAGCCGTATTCTAGCGGTGTTCCCCCTCCATATTAGGTCTCGAAACAAAGTATCTATCTTTTTAAACCATTTTTGCGTGACCCAAATAGGAGAAGTATGTAACACATATAGCAGTTGCGGCCCCCATATCATTTTTATCAAGTTGGCTCTGCTGATAACCGTAAGTGGTAATTTGCATCAACTGTTACTTTTATGTTTAAGCTTACATAAGGGTTTTAAATTAAAAGCAAGATATTCTGCTATATTAGCTGACACCATAACTCTTTAATTTGAGATGCACAACTCGCAAAAGCCGGCAGATAGGGTCTAAAGGTAATAATGCTGACTTGCCCCAGTTGATATTAAAACCCCAAAAAGAGCCAAACTTTTGCACTAATGACATCAAAGACTTTAAGGAGTTATCTGTATCCCCCCAAAAAGGCTGCTTCCCATGGGAAAAAAACACTAATTCTCTTTTTCATCTACCAAGATCAATTTCAAAATGACAAACGGCCATTAAATTTGGCACCACTGAAATTTACAACAGATTAAATTTAAGCATTACAAAATCTCAACAGTGGCCCATTCTTTACCTTGGTAATGTCCGGTTCGGACTTGCTAGAACACATTGCTCGCAATTCTTTCACAAGATCCACCTCATCATCTGAACCAGCCGACAGTCTCTGTTCCATGTGGAGAGACTTTGGGTGAACACCTTCCAGAGGTCTGTAGAAATCATTGTAATAGTTTGAAATAGTTGAAATTTATAATAGTAATAGATTGAAAGTTTAAATGTCCTGGTACTTGATGACTATGCTGAATTTTAAACAGGGAGGTCTATTTACACAAAAAATTGCATAGCCTATTCGCCCAGCAAAACGGCAGGTATTTTCGTTCTGTGCAAGTTGGTGTGAGAATGGGGCAAAAGCGAATATTCCTAGTGTAATTTCTCTTCTGGTTGAATGTTCTTCAAAAGGTTAATTCTCAAGCCTGGCTTCTGCATTGGATGTTAATGAGCAAAACACCTTTCACACTGTTCTATCCTTAGGCTTTCCATAAGAACAGATCACTGTGAAGGTCCTCAGAAAAACTTGGATTAAGTCATTTTGTCTGCTGCAACAAAACATCTCAAAGATAGGAATTTTTTTTAGAAATTATTTTTTTGGTATCCTGTATGAATGGAAACACAAACAAAGAGAGGGTTTCTCTCACATTTGACTACAAAAGTGTACATACACTTTAAAGAACAGAGTGAATTGGGAAATACTGCATTATGGCCACTAGATGGACATGAGTATCATAGGAAATAAATTAATTAGTAATAAGATTAACAAGGTTATTCACAAAGCTGCCAAAGGCAGCCAAGTGAATAACCGAGCCATAGTGAAGTGAATGTTCGGCTATTCACTGCGGCTCAGTACGGCTGATTTTGGCCATACATTGGCTGAACTCAGCCGTACATCGGCTGCACTTCAGTCCGCCAAACATGCTCTGAGCCCAAGTGCAGAATGACTTTGACTCAGCTGATCCAACATTTGGATCAGCTGAGCCGATGCTCCGGCAGCTCACTCGCTGTCGTTCACCCCTATTCTCATAGGGGCCGGATGGCAGTGAGTATATAGCGGCATTCGGCTTGTCCATTTTGCTCGGTACCTCCGAGGTACCGAACAGAATAGCAAATCAATGCTCTGCTCACTTTTTATTGTTTAATGACAGTTCAGCATCCCCAGGTCATTTTGGGACGCTGATCTGTCATTACAACTGCTCCACCCAGCTGTCATTTGCCCACCTGTCATTTGCGGGGCGAAAGGCCGGCCTTCGGCTGGCCATTCACCCCGCTTCGGCTGACACTTTTGGCTCAATCGAAGGCTCCCGCAACTGAAGCTAGCCGAAGGATCAGCCGAAGCTACGGCTGGATACTTCAGCAGCTTTGTCAATAGACCCATAAATGTTACAATTCTAGAGACCACTGGAGGGAATGCGCAAATAAACTTAACCATTTAGACTGCAGGGATAGCAATGGTAGTACCTCTCGGATACCCGTGACAGTTTCTCTCCACCCCGATGGGACACAGAGCAGCGCCCAGGGGGGAGGAGAGAAACCAGGGAAGCACCGCTAACATGTTTTTTTTTTCTATGACACATAGCACACAACACAATTTTTTTTTATGTGCACTCTTATAAATACACTGACAACATTTATTTTTCCACCAATCTCACACCAGCTGTATAAATGTTTTCCTGCATTTTTAAAGGACAAATAAGCTATGCAAATGTTTTATACATAGATCGCAGAATGTCCCATTTTCAATTCCCAAATCATTCAAACAGTCTCTGAGTGTTCAGTATTTACCCTCAGTTTTTTTTCTGTATTTAAGGTTCAGTGTTCAAGAACTGGTACTAAGTAACATATTAATGAAATTCAGCCCACCAAAAACAAGTATTTCCATTTCTGTTATACATCAGTGGGTTGAAATCACCCACCAGCTTGTTTTGTCTTAGAGCTTTCCAATGGTGTCCCTTCTGTGCTTGCGCTCCCTAATGCTGTCATCTCCTGCACCCAATATAATGTGCTCTAGAGTTCACTGTTGCATTTTTCATTTATATAAAGCAAAGGCAAACCATGTGTCCAATGGCAGGAAATGATCAATGTATTAGATGCAGTAAAATTCAGCTCACCATGTTTAATAGGAGGATCTATACTTACTTGAACCCATGCCTTACTAACAATCTGGTACTTGTCAGATGGGGCTGAATGAGCTTCAGTCAGCTGCTCAGGTAAAGAAGCACTATTTAAATAGTACATTACAATTCAGTCTACATATATTCTGCCTTGTCACTTAAGCTACTGCCGTGCTGTTTTGAGTCTATTGTACTACAGCACAGTCCTTTTGCTTATTCATTAGACATTATTAGACTTTCTGGACTTTCTAGATCAACAACTCACACCCTGCTATCCATACACAAATATATAGAAAACGATACTTTGAGAAGGCTTTTCTGTAAAAAATTGCGGTAGTCTGGTGATCAGTCTAAAGTGATAATAGTAGATGAGTGCTCATTAGGGCCTGTGTCAAAAGGCTTTGGACTTGTGACAATGGCATCAGTTTGACTTTAGTTTGAGATGCTTTTAGAATTTATTGGCAGGTTAAAATGACCTGCAGATAACCTTTTGACCTGCTGCAAGCAGGTTTTGCATTCCTATAGACCTGTATGGGAGTGAAAAACTGTTTAAAGCAAAGAAAAGCCTGTTCACAGGCCCTTATAGACAGCAATGATGGTATTGTAGGATAAAGAGCATTTCAAGCTGCCAGGGTTACATATTATGGTTGCTCTTGTAAATAACTGAGTGGCTTGACACTGCATGTGATAAACCACACAAAACCTATACAAGGGCATCAATTTGTTTTAGCCAAAAGGAAAGACAATGAACATACTTTTTCTTGGTTATTGAAGAACTGCTTCCTGTCTTTAGTCCATTCTTCGAGATGTCACCTTTGATACAAGTTTAAAAAAAACAAAAAAACAGGAGCACCTTGTAATTGAAGGAATGTTTAACATAATCTGAAATGTTTAATGAAATGTTTAATTCAATTGATAGAATCATTTTGGCCTTTTCCTCAAATGACACACATTAGTGATTTTTGCAAATGTGTTTAAAATCCACCTGTTAGGAAAACAAATATGGGAAGTGCCATTCTGACGTTCATCTGAAAAATCTAGCTGCCTAGTTTTAATGCTGACCCCACTACTGGTGTTCTGAATGACTGACCCACCCAGAACAAGGATGCCAGAGGAAAGTCCTTAACTGCAGATTTGTCCCCATGTCAGTGACTCAAAGTACTGAAACAAGGTCAGTGTGACAGCCAGGCAGCTAGCATTTCAGAAGAAAGAAAGGAAGATCAGCACTGGTAGCTTCCATATTACCCTTTAAGGGAAACCGAATACATTACAAGAAATAGCGAGATAGTAAGTTCAGTGCATTTTTTATGATTCAATGTGGTCCTTTCACCTAGATGTAGATGTTATGTGTATATCACTGTCATTTTACTTTTGATAGAATGTTAGAATGCCCTATTATAAAACAAACATTGATAGTGGGGGGCTGGGGAATTTGTCCATGTTTCACAGTACACCCTAAATATTGGTGTAACATTAAAACATGGTCAGCAAGGTAAACGTTAAATTAAATTGCTGTAACATGCTGGGGAACTTGTTTGTTAATTGCATCACCCAAGTGCACCTTTTCTTCTGGCAATAATTTGCAGAGCAGACAAGTAGTTTTCCTCTTTTCACAGTTTAGTATGTAGCCATGAGGGGATTTTACCTGCTGCAAACAAGTCTGACCCTCTTATGGGTCAGAGGACTGAGTTAACCTCCTGGCCACTCTTAGTTTATCCATTTGGTTACATTCATGAGTTACTTCGCCATTTGTTCATTGAGAAATCTACACCTGCAATCAACCTAATACAGAAGTGCATATACTGGAAATTTGATTACCTTCTAGTCCTGCTTTCTCTTTGCTCCATGAGGAGTTTAGATTGGACTTTTTGCGTGGACTTGTACTGACTTTCCTCCAAGCTCCATTCTCCCCCTTCTTCTTTCCTCCAGGCTTGTATGTAGAACTCATAGATAAAGATAAATTCCCTCCTTTAAAATCAGCTAAGCATTGTTCTACATCTGAAATGACAAAGTATATGATGTTATTTCAATGAATTGTATAAAACATTTCTTCTTTACATACATTTATGTAACAGTATATCTTGTACAGCTAACAAACTTTCCTATGATAAAAATATGCAGCAGACTTCACAAACAACACTTACCACTTTTTGGAAGATGGCAGCCGTGCAGAATAGCTTTATTGAGCAGTATACTGAGGGCTGCTCTTACAACTGCTTGCTGCCCTTGGCTTGTGGTATATGTAGGAGCAACATGGCCCAGGACAGAGGATCTCTTGATTGTAGCCAAGGAAATAATTGCTTCTTCCACTTTTGGCACAATTATTGCATTCCACAGTTTGGACATCCACCTAACCAAACAAAAATAAATAAAACAACATTCTTGTAAGCACACATGGAATGCACCAGACATAATGTACAATTTAGCCAACATTACACTGTCTCTGCTACACAAGGCCATATAAGCTTTCCACACCGTATTGTGCTGCTTGTGCTTTTGCTAGCAGTGACATCCATTTACTTGATGTGGAATGCCACAAGAAGGAACAGTAGCATGGGCACCGAAGAGGGAATGCTGCCCTCAGCTGCACATAATCTTAAAACCCAGGCTACTCACACAAAATATAATATATAGATTTGTTTGTAATTCTTCCTGAAATTAGGAATACTTACTTCACCATTATTTGTGCATTTCCAGTCACTATTGGACAAGACATGAATGGCTGTGGTCCAAAAAGTGCCTCTGGTGCTCCCAGACGAGACAAGCAGGAGTTCAGCTGATGCCATACTGCGCAAATCCAATCTACACCTTGACACACGGGGTCACTTGATGGAGGCAGTTTACCTTTAAACTGAAATAAAAGGTTTTATATGAGCCCTCAGGTTCCCAGTACAAGAAATCAATTAAATGAATGCACTAATTTAATTTGGACACAACAGTGTTATAACTATAAATGGTGACAACACAAAAAGACATCACTGCTGTATAAAGATAGGACATTTTCATATTTATGTTCACTGTAGTATTATTCTGCAATGATTATAGCCTATACCAGAATACAGCAAATATATAAGGTCAGTAGTTAGAACTATAACTGTAGAGATCTGGGTTTCATTCCACTATGTACACTATGTGCATAAAGTTTGTGTGTGCCCCCAGCAATATTTCCAAATGGCGGAACTCCAGGGCCCGGTCGCAGCCGCGACCTTTGCATGGCCACTAAAAAAATGATTATCTTAGAATAAAAAGCACAGAACACATTATTGATATAGTTTATCTTTACAGCCACCTTCCTCTTGTAGGGGCATACCTTATGTACAACTTTTCTTTTCAAAACTTTGTGAAGTAAACTATGCATGGGCTCTCCATCCCATCTCAGTTGGACCCATCGGAAATGCTGTTGTGCCAACAATTCAGGTCCTTGAAGGCGAGGCCTTGCGACTGCTCCCATCAAAAAGCAATCTTCATGGAAGTAGTAGGCATCAGACAGTCCATTGGCTTTGTCAGAGAGAAAATACAATGACACATTTACAATATTATACTTTTAGTTAGAATAAGCTTCCTATTATCTTCTATGAATATGCCAACCTCTATGAACACAGTATGGATTTTCAGATCCACGATTTTCTAAAGGAGACATCAAATCCCCAAGCAATTCCAATAATGAGACGTTCTCTAATTTTTCCAGAATGATAATGGTTTTCTTTTTGCAAGGTGGTGAATCGGCAACAGGAATTAAACATCCTACAATGACAAGCAGATATGATGTTCACGTGGACAGGTGGGAACAAATGACATCTACAGTATATTCTTTTTAACATTTAGATAAAAAAAGAAAACAATTAATTTAAATCTGTCAAATCCTACCTGAATTAATAAAAATGTCCACTAGTTGCTCCTTAGATAATCCCAAGTATGCATCAACTTTCACCACATCACAGCTAAATCCAGTACCCTCTTCCTTGTTCTGAGGGGATAAAATCCTTGTTAGTGTTGGAAATGTGACCAAGCACTGTTATACAATAAAGTATCCCTGTAGTATACCTTGATGCAGCATGAAAGCTGATCCACTATATATTCTTGTAAGCTCCCTTCTGGACCTTGAAATATCACATTGTGATACTGCTCGACCTATTAAAAAAAAGTTCATAATAAATATTATTACAGTGTAGAAAATAATAAAAGGAATCTGAAAAAATGTACTCAACACAAAGCTAATTGGAGTAGCTATGAATATTATTATTATACAGAATTTATATAGAGCCCACAGTTTGCACAGCTCTTTATAAAATTCAGAAATATTACGTTCACAATGCATTGGTTTATGTATCAATTAAAAACCAAGCCCAATAAAGTTAAAAGTCAGCACTAGGTGCAAACCAAACTGGTAAAACACTTTAGATGTAATTCACAGCTAACATGCCAGGATAAAAATACTTTTTTTTTTTTAAACATAACAGCGTTTTCAGCCAATGAGATTTGAACATTACAGTGACATAGCTAACATAAAGATCTTTATCCTCAAGTTAATGCTTAATGAACAGGGCCCTTTATCTGCTGTGCAGCTTTGGCAAGATTCATAGCTGCAGTTACAAACGTCATCCATAAATTAAACCAAATATGGTCTATGAGCTTCCTCCTCTGAAATGCCAATAATGTACAAATTGACTGCTTAACAGAACTCAACACTGGAGCCACAAAAGTACAGTAACTAACATGCCCTTTAACCTTTCTTTTTTTTATAAAGATAAGGTTAAAGACGCTTTTTTCTTCCATTACAGGTACCCATAGTAAACAGAGCGTTCATTGTCAAACCAAAATAAAATTTTATGAATGATTTAGAACTATATAGAACCACCACCTGCTGTGAGATTGTATAAGTAATACAAGCAGGGATAACACAGATAACACAAATACTCTGCATTAACATCCATCATATTAAAAATAATGTGTCAGCACAGGATTTCACTTGGTAATTTATTTGAAATATAATAAAGATACCATAGGGGTTAAAATATTCTAACACAATCTAAAATGATAGGAAAACATTTTAATTAGAGTGAGTCAACTGAGTTATTTGCACCGGAACAATCCACAGCACGGGAACAATTCACTTTCTATTCTCAGCTTTTTTAAGCTGCATTATAATTCATTTTAATTAAATGGAGCACTAGTTTCACTATAAGAAAAATAAGGCAGCCTATAACAATAACTGGCTGGGGATCTAAAAATCAAAGTGCTAAAAATCAAAGAACGTACAATTCTTCTTTTATATTATTTAGAGCAAAAGTCTAGTAAACATTATTTGAGTGTAAGGGCTGAGTCCATCACAGTCCATCACATTTAGACTACTATGTGGGTGATAGAGTTTTAACAACTCAGCTTACTAAATGCTTTTGGACTGCATATAGGCAACGTGCTTGCTGCTGCCAATCAGCGGTCTACAGCTATGAAACTAGTAATGTAGAACCAATATAGTTATTTTAAGTGCTAGTTTTAGAAGCACTGAAACCCTTATGACCTTTCTATCTATAGATCCTTTAAAATATACACCCGCATTATTTTTTCCTCCTCCAGACTTGGGTGTCACGCTGATTGCAGCGAGCTGCTGACTGAATGTTGCAGTGTTACCGTGTGTCAGACATGCTTTGATTTACAGGATAGTGCAGCTGCCTCGTACATAGCATGCAGAGAAACCATGGGTGGTCAAGATGAAACAGGAGAAAAACGTTAATATCCTAAAAAGAATGAATTATGTGTTTAAATGTTATAGCCAAAATACAAGCAGAGTTTGGAAACATTCTTACTTATACATATTTTATTGTATTTATTTTCTGTTTGAAGTGCACTTGTTCCCATTTGCCAATTCTACTTGCAGAAGCAGATATAATATATGGACACTAGAAGCAGGGTCTCTCCTTCAACCTCTACCTCTCTCTTCCCCCTCTCCCTCTCTCCTCCCCCCTCTCCCTCTCTCCTCCCCCCACTCT